AGAAATTTCAAAAACATTTATTGAGTCAATATTATGGTTCCTTTGTAAGATCGTAAAGTTTTCAGTTTTGACAGCTATTTGTTCGCATTTTCATGGAATTATATTCTTTGTACCTAAATTTTGCCGTACTCGTTTCAGGTGAGAATCCTCCTGCACATCATTTAAACTGGATTTCTGTACATGTCCCTATGCTGTTTGACATCTAGAAATGCCTAGTTAAATTGAAAACAAGCTGGAGTCCAATTATTAGGGTTGATTTTATATAGCTCGATAGTTAGAGAGCTTTTCATATTGAGCTCCCGCAAGATTTAGCACGGAGAGAAAAAGTTGAGGTTTTTGCGATACGCTACGATAGTTAGTATAGTTCTCTTGTTCCATTCTATACTTTCACCTCTCCTACTTTAAAGTTTTCTTCCTTCTTTTCACTGTTTTTTATTCCACATTTTCTTTTATGTCAAATAACGCCATCTTTAGTGGAGATCATAACTGTTTACCATATGTATTCTTCACCGCTGCTTAGTCGTTCAACAGGATTTGGACCTTCAATGGACACGGCTCCTTTGGACAACAGCTCATCAATGTCGACTAACAAGTATTACTTCGAACTTTCTTCTACCGCCGACTCAGTTTTGTACATTTCAATTTAGATTTGTTGCTGATAACCAGGGCGATGCTGCAAAAGCACCATCGTTTCTCTTCGGTCAAAAACGGCGGTCAGTGGCTCCTGGAGCTCCTTCATGTAAGGGTCTTAAATTGTAATTATCTGTAGCGGAGAAGCGTAGTTGTTGCCTGGACGTTATTCTGTTGTTCATCACAATTCTTTAAGAAAGAGATGTCGCGATGATTTTTTTAAAATAATATCCTCCAAAAATCACAGCAAACTTTGCCACAATGTGCTTCTTATTGCGGAGCTGTTAAAGGAAAAGAAAGGTGCACATGAGGTTTAATTCGAAGTCTTTTTTGAGGAAGTCCCTACACGACCGCAACTGGCTATCAATGAAGCATTTTATCATGATTTGAATAAATGTCGTGTGATTTATTGTTAGCGAACTTCGCGGGGTGAGGAGCTAATGCGATCATGCTTTGATCTCACTACTATTCAGCTTCAGGACTGAGAGTTGTCAGTTTAGTTCAGATGCTGCAGAACGTGCACTATTTGCGAGTTTTTGATTATCTGCTAATTTACCAGGATTTAGAGAAGTCCTGCTACGCTTACATATGATGATTATAGACCTCAACAATCCATACTCCGGCCATAGTGCGCCATCAAATGATATTTTTGCTTCTCCTGTACCAAGTCAGTTAAGAGGTTGGTATATCAGTTTATCACTAA